AACACGGGGGTGCTTAACTTTTTTCCAGGTGTATATATTATAAACACCATTTGTCAGAACAGTAGTAAACAAATATTTATGTAACTACATACATTTCATTTTAGAATTTAGCTTGCTTTTGATTTTATTGCCTTACTAATATGCTAATATAATTACATTTTAACACTTCTTTGCAGGAGCTGGAGAACCTAACTTTGATGCTTATGAATGCAACCCATATATGACCAAAACTCAACGAAGAGAGATGGAAGTTAAGGCTTTACTGGAGAAGGTAAAGGAAACATTATGCATATGTGAATTCAAAACCAGATAGAGACTATTGCAAAAATGCATAGAAGGATAAGTTTTTCAATATTATTCACTTCTTTTACTGTTTTAAATTGCTAATCCAACCATGAGTTTTTATACCATACATATTTTCTACACCAGTGTTCATCTTCTTGTAATTCGAGTTTCCTGTAGTTTATAATAACATACTTGATATTATAATAACACGGAAGAAATCTGTATTTTTTTGGTGAATAATTATCAAGTATAAAGGATAAAATTGTTAATTTTATATTATTGATTATATCTTATTTTTATTAATTAACACATCCTATTATCATATTGTTTAATTTTCCATAGGATTGAAATGAAACCTCTGTGTGCTTCTGAAATATTAAAATCATATAATGCATTATTAGGATTGCAGTTCTAATTACAAACATTAATACTCGTGAATTTTGGATTTTCATAATTGCAGTAGCAGCAACAATGTTAAGTTAATGTTGCTTCACCTGGTAACTCATGTTACCATGCATGATATTGACCATATATGTAAAGAAGGGTCAAAGTGCACAAATTATGAGCTTTTTACAGAGCTGTATTCAAAATTTAATTAACCCTATGTGCACGAGTGCGGGTCAAAAAAATCATGTCCTTACCTTCTACAGAGTGACATACTAAAAGGTATTATGACTTAGAGTTATTAACATTTCATGTTACCCTAAGTTGCTGATTTGGCAATAAATCATATTAGAGAAGAGAAAATACCAGATACAATATACAAAAATACCTAAAAATAACTTTAGCTATGTATTTAGGAAGTTGTAGAGGTTATGGAACAGCAGTTTGTAAACTGTACGTTGAACAAAACTATTTTTATTCTTCACATAAACATCACCTTGCACTCCTACTTGTCAGAGTCTGTCAAACAGATGTCCTCATTTCACAGATATATCTTTAGAACAAAAACTTTAGTAATACATTTGATTTTTTGTGTACAACAGACTCTTACTCTTGCCACATTTTGTGAAGACTTTTACATTTGGAATTATAGTCAACATTACTTCTCCAGTACAGGATCAGTTCATTCTGTTAAACAACTTTATTATCAATGTATGTCAATAAACATGGTATAAAAGTGTAGTTTATAATTCAAAGTTTTATATTATCTAAGTTTTTATTTCTTAATTTCAAAAGGAAATATTGGAGTAAATTCTTAATCTTGACTTCTGTGTGTCATATGACACATCTCTCTTCTGATTCACTTATTTTCAATTTTCTCCATTCCTTTGTAAGACTATCAAAGAGGCCAATCAGTCAGAAACTCTAAACTGTAGATATTTGCAGGTTATAGTATAAAATTCTCTCTTCCACCTTCTTAAATTAGTGAGATATGAATAAATTTGCATCACCTACTATTGATGCTCCTTCCATCTTGTCATAGCTTTCAAAAAATTTATACCATGTACCCTTCATATATTTATATGTTTGTAACCAATAGAAAGAGAGTTTTGACCCCTAAAGTAACCCAATAATAGTTATCTTTAGACAGCTTGCCTCAGGTTGTTTATGTGTGATCATTATTGTTAAGCTTTGAGTGGCTAACACAATTTTTTTTAACCTATTTTTAGCTTAGTTAGAAATCCAGCTAAATTATAGTATCGTTAAGACATTATGTAATTTTATGTGATAACGGTTCTGAATTTTATGTCTAAAACAAACACTGAAAATATTTAGGACCAACAACATCATAACAAAAATAAGTCTAAAATATTTTGTCCATTGACAGCAAAAAGTAGTTGTTACTTAATTTTTGAATGTATTTAGGACTAAGCTGTATAAAGGAAAAGAAAATGGCCAAAATTAATGAATTTATTGGTTTTAAGTAATGTAAAAGAATGTATAAATTCATTACTTTGAAAAGGATTAATTTTTGATAAATTTCACATAGTTAAATACATAATGGACACTTTATTAGGATTTGTCTCATACATTTGTAGATCTTTCCTTTAAAAATTGGCACATGGAAAAATACATTTATTGTATAATATTTCAGGTTATTATTTGAGCCTTAAAATAACAGGATGTAGTCATATTCCATAATATTGGGTGCCAGTCTACAGGAGCATTATTATCAAAAGTAGTCTTTAACTCACTTTTGAAAACAGTTGTCTTTAAAACCTATCAAAAATGGCAAATGAATAGTAATATCAAATTGAAAAAGAAAATTACAAATTTAGTGGGGCTAAGAGTACAAACTGTAGACTGTGAATGATTGCAAGTCTTTGATATGATCTGATGAAAAAAAGGAAAGTACACCTTTAGATTAAAACTAAAATACTTAAAACTGTGTAAAAGATTCATTTTTAAAACTCATTCTGGTCTCTTCAGTAATTTATTGAATTACTATTGAATAAGAAGTTAAAATGATACCCACAGTGAGTTGAATGGCTTCAATGTGTTGGTTTAGTATGATAAAGAAAAGTGGATGTAACGTACTACACATATTATGAATACAAGCATAATAATAATATTATTTAGTCAAACTTTTGCAGTCTTAGATTTCAAAATATCTGCTGATGTATATCTTAATACGTGCTATAACATGCAAGTTAGTAACAGTATGTAAACTACTGTTTTAAGGATTTGTAAATACTTTAGCTTTAATAATTATTCATGGAATTGTGTAAAAAAATACTGTTTTTTCCAGAGCATATCTTTATTAACTTTTTTTTTGTTTCTTTTTTTCATTGACAAAGTACCAAATGGTATAACTTGTATCTGAATTATATACATATAAAACTGCTAAATACAAATTTTTTGTCAGTTTTATTGTCTGATTTATTTACACTTTTATTTTGTCTGTTTTGTGAATTTAATGGTTAAAGTTCTTTGATTTTTGTTCTAGGTTCAGCCAGAGCTAATTTCTCTTGATCCTGGAAAAATTGGGGAATTAGACATCCCCACATTAAAGGATAAGATTGAAAACAAGAAGAAATTGTTGGTATGTTGTTCAGTATTATTGAATGTTATAAAGTACATTAACTATTTTCTTAATTTTCACCAACATAAAATTTTAATTTGTAGATATGAAAGAAAAAATAAGTAATATGGTCTATGAAGGAGGCAATATACTTCATTGTGTGGTATTTTCAGGTAAAACAATTATCTTGAGAAATAACAGCAGGTGCAATCAAAAAATGAGAGAAGTTTTCTGAAATACAGTAGATAACTTTATTGAGTTCCTTTAAGTATAAAATAACAAGTCTGGACAAATGTGAATGAATGAGATGAAATAGTGATTCTTTCTACTAGACTCTGGTTAGCTCCATAGTTTCTCTTCCTCAAGATTAATCACCATAGGACTAAAATATGTTGCTCTTGGAAGAAGTTTTCACTTTGTGATCTTCTTGTAAAAACTGACTATTATATAAAAAGTGCACCTTTTTAATATTTTATACATTTTAGTTTCTGAATTTGGAAGAAAATATTTAAAAGAAAATGGTAAATATATTTGTTTTTGTGTTATATGGCATGTCTTATTGCTCAATTTATATTACACCTACCCATACAACATCTATGGTTGTTAACAAATTATAAACTCAAATTTCAGACATCTAAAAGCTAGAATATAAAATAAGAACCTCCCATTTTTTTTAATTGCTGAGGTATCAATATATCTTGCAAATCTACCAGAGTAGCCCCACCCACTATTCCATTCTTTTGAAACCTCTATTCACATCTACTTCTGTTAATTATATGTTTATTGGTTATATACTTTGTACAGAATGATATCATAAACATTTTCTTCCACTTTTATTACATTAAACAATTCTCCTTACAAGTACTACACTGTAAACAAGCCGATAAATCCTTTCCAACTGTGTTCTCAGATCCAGGATCATGACAAACTCTGTGGGAAAGTTCTGGTAATTGAGCTGGATGAGCCTACTTGCTATCAATGGTGTCGTATTACGCTATTTCTTAAACAGTCTAAGGCAGGAGCAGTGATTCATTACATTATGTTCAGCAGGTTTCTATTTCAGTTCATTAAGAAATAGAAACTCTCAGGGGAAGTACTTTGGAACTTTGTGGGCAATACTAAAATAGATAGAACAGTACTACTCACATTTTTTCAACCTTTAAAGTTGTCTACAAAACACAAATCAATGTATCTAGCAAATCAACTAGTGTGGTGCCTCCTCCTACTCCATTCTTTCCAAACCTCTTGTTTAGTTCCCCGTACTTTTTTTAATGGTCTGTTTATAACCGATAGAAAGGACGAGTTGTGCTTCATGTGATTCTGACAGTTGTTTATAAAAAGCTTGGAGGAGAAAATAATAATTTCACCAAGAATGTTGAATGGTGTTGACCAAGTTGTTGCTACGAATAGAGATTAAATTTTTTAAACATATATACATACTTTATTTATAAACCCAAGCAAGTTACAGATGTTTTGGGTGTACTAATAGAGTAATTTAATATTTTTTTTTCTAAAAATGTATATTTGAAGCCTACAAAAATTATATTTCTTCACCCTTCACTCAAAACAAATAAACAAGGCTTAGCACTAAAGGCACACGAGGGCAAAATATATTCCTGTCACCATAACTTGTTTTTCTATGTAATTTTTATTTATTGTTCTATGTTTTAAGAAAAATAACTAAAATTTAAGCATTTATGAAAAAAGATATATGTATAAATGTAATGTATGGTAGCGAAATATCAGTGTAGTTTGCAAAATATTGGTAATACAGTTAGATTTGTACTTTGTAGGGCTATGTAGTTAGACCTATTGAGCTTGTGTTTTTCTAATTGTCTAAATTGAGGTAAAATAAAAGCAAATGATGCAACATTAACAACTTTACAACTTATATTTATTCATAATATTTAGAAATGTACAGTAAAAGAAAGCAATGAAAAGTTGTACAACCTCATCTATATAAAAGTATACAAATATTTACTCACAATATACATTCAAAAACTGAAACAAAGGTACAGTTGCACAAAGTTGCTCACATTCTTGAACAAATTGTATACAACTGTTCAAGAATGTAAACAACTTTTAGAAAACATACATAAAGCTGTGTACAGAAACTATAAATGAATGCAAATCTATATACATGAATTTCACATAACTATATGAATATATTTACATTTTAGAAAATGCACATGACAGGAGGTATTATACATACAATTGTATACAAAAATAAAAATATGTAAGTTATACAAATTCTGATATACAGAATTGTATATAAATGTTAAAGAATGAAGAACTTTCAGAAAATATACATCAAGCTCTGCACAGAGAGTATCATACATACAAGTGTATGGATAACAAAAGAAAACTTCACAAAAATATTTCAGGCAAAAACATTATATTCTAAAAAGGAAAAATTGCTGTACATTCAAATACAATAAAAAATGCTAAGATGCTACTGTCTCAGATATTCATTAGTTTTAGAGAAAAAGAAACTATTTGTTAAAGGAAAAGAAAGAACTGTATTTGTAAAAGGAAAAGAGCA